GATAACCTGGAAGAAATGGATTCCTGGGTACAATCTACCAATAATGCAGCAAAAGGAATCTGAGCAGACCAGCCATGGGATGCTTGTGTCAGCAATGAAAGTCTCGCATCAAAAGCTCAGTCCTGTGGAGAACTAAAACTGACAGCTTGGAACTCCCGGCGGAACCGAGTCGGCGCCGTTGTGCGTGTGGAAGACCCTCCTGAGGACGGCTGCCAACGGCAAAGGAGGAGAACTGGAGGGGAAGATCGGATACTGTTGATGTTCCTGGGGAGGCTTTGCTGCAGCTTGTCTTCCTGATGCGAACTCAGCTGTCAGAGGAGGAGCGCGGGTCCTTGCTGTCGCCTGGGATGGCTGCTGTTCCAGGGGAGCTCTGGTCTTGGCCTGGAGACCCCTCAGCTTGGTGGCACAGGATTGTAGCTTCCACCACTGGCCTTGGGCCTTCCCGGTGCAGATCCTCCATACGGGCTTGCCTGAGACATTGCCGTGGGCGCCAGGGCTCTGGCTAGACTTGTGCAGGACTTTGCTGTGGGATCCAGGCCTCAGCTGGATTTTTAGAGTCTCTAGTGTGTAGACAGATCTCTTGCACTCCTCTGCATTTGACTTTTTGGGTAAATAGTTTAAAATAATCATATAAATTATGTGTCCTGTATTAAATCTATGCCCTTGCAAACCCTGACAACAACAGGTTTAATGGGTTCACTAATGAATACAACCAAACATTTAAAGAAAAATTAAGACCATCCTTCTCAAACTTCCAAAATATTAAGGAAGGAATTCTCTGTTCATATTCTTTGCTTATTATACCACTGAATTATTTTTGTCTGTTATTCTTTGAGTTAGTTCTCTGTATTCTAAACACCTCTTGTTCTACACTTTATATTTTAATTGAAGCAAAATTTTACATCTACCTTTCTAGAGCTTTTCTAGGCTTGAGAATTCAATTGGCAAAAGACTTCAATAGGATAAATACATGCACATTCAACAAGTTTTGCATGGCACAGGATCCTTCATGAGGAAATGAAAGCCCAGTGATGAGTTGGGGTAGAACAATAAGTTCTGAATTGGACAGTGTAGTTAAATGAAAATGTGATAGGACAAAGTTAATTGGATAGAGAAGAGCATAGGAAGGTAAGGATTCGTTTAGCAAGGGTTTTTGTAAAGATTTCACTTGACCTCAACTTCTTTTTTTTGAGATAGTGTCTTGCTGTGTGGTCCAGGCTGGCCTTGAACTTGCTGTGATCTTCCTGTCTCAGCCTCGGCATTCTATCCTTGATAAGAATGTTACTTTCCTTTTGGTATAGGCAGGACATTTTTCATCTATTTTTAAGAAACAGAAAGGATTTCAGAGTGATACTGCACCTGCTTTCTCTCAAGTCCTTTCAGCCCACATTTTTGAACATGCCAGAGCAGCACGATTTGGAGTGGCATGTGCTTACCTCCTTCAGCAAGTTAACTTCTGGGGTTTGCCATTTTACCCCCCTTTACCGGATGCACTGTCTTACTTTGTTTTATCAGCATTTATATTTGCCGTATTGCTACTGAGTTAGAGTCTACTGTGATCAAGTGCTCCTAGACATCTTCTCCTTTGCGTCCTATTTCCAGTTCCTAAAAGTAGTGTACACCAACCCTTGCCCCGTCACTGCCTTCCTGTTCTCATCGGCAGTGGGGCACCCACCGGGCCATTGCTGTCCAAATCCAAGTCTCGCCAGTTTTGCTACCTAAAGGTTTCTTTGTCTGTGTTTTAATTTACCCCCATCATCTGAAGGAATGATGCTAAGTAAGAGCTTCTGAGGATTTTGTCTAAATAAAATACTGCAGCCCAGGGCTCAACCTCGGTGATCATTGTCCAGAAAGTAAGAAGAAATTGAGGTGCTATGAATCATTTCATACATGATCGAAGGCTGTTGTACTGGAGCCAGAAATCACCTCATTTTGTTTGCTTGTGAGTTGTTTTTCAAGAAATGAACTATTTTATTAAGCAAAGAAAAACACACCCTGAAAAAAGTGAGTTTCCACTGTAAACGTTTTGATGTATTGAGCAAGTCCACCTGCCGCTTTTCATTCAGGGCCTATTTATGTTGCCGGCACTCGAGGTCTGCTTTTGCTTGCCAGACTTCGCTCCGGGCGCTGGGCTGCGACCGGCAGAGCCCTGGGTTTTAAACTCTCTGAAGTTTGTGAGCGAGCATATTTAGTCCTACATCGGAATTTGTCTGTGATAAAACTTGGAAGTACTTAGTACAGTCGTTAGTAACAGTTGTTGTTTTCTTAACTGCCTAAGTAGGGGGATAGAAAATGCATTGAAATACTCTTAGGGTGTTAGGTTTTTCTCTAGCTTTTTGAGGGGAAATTTTAAAAAACACTTTACCGGTAGCTTTATACTGCTAAAAGTTACTCTGCTGTGAGTTCTTGAGGAGTATTATGTGACTCCATTAGGTGGCAAGTCGTATTTTGGCCTTATATGGGAATAGCTTCAGAGTTTGATTCTGACAGTGTCTTACAGGATAGTCTGCCTTCCATGGTCCTACTGAGAAAAATCGAGAATTAGGGTTGGGCGTCTTCGTTGCATGAAGCAGATGTGTCATTTCCATAACTGCGCGGAAAGCGCCAACAGCAGCTGTGGTAGACTCAGATTCGAAAACCGCCTGAGGTGGACGAACAGTAGAGGAGGGACCAGCTTTTTGAAAGTACTGTACTTGTCCACCAGACCTCCCCCAACAACTGCTTTTCTTTGAATCCAGGAAGAGAAAGGACATGGACATTTTGACTACTACCTACCATGTATCAGATTTTATTTAATCTGTACCATCTCATTTTGTGACCAAAAGCAACTAAGAGGTTTGGTATCTTACCCAACCAAAGCCACACAGTCAGTGCTCTTTCGTAGACTTGCTATCTTTCCTCTACCGCGAACAACAAAGTCTAATTAACTAAAAAATGTACGTGTTATTTAAAAATTTGAATTATTACAAAGAAGCTTTGATATTATACACAAAGTCCAAGCGCTCTGAAAAATGTGTAACTCGTGCTTTTCTCTTTTTACTCTTGCGAAATACAATCCTCCTTAGGTCCAGCCGAGGATTAAAGAATTGAACATTTTGAACTTCCTTCGTACATCAGCCAGCTGGCGTGTTTTCCTAGCAAAACATTTTCTGATTTGACCACAGGCTCTCTCAATCAGTCGTTACTGGTTTGAATAATAGAAAATGCTGTCATAGCGGGCACCTGATCATGAAAATTGATATCAGGAGTGCATTTTTATTTGGATTTAAAATGTTTTTACAATCCCAGTATAAACACTGTTAATCTAGTCAAAACCTTTTCTCACAGGATCAAGGGCTTGCATAGTTTTACTTTTACTACTTATAGTCTACAGAGTGAGAATAAATCGTATATTTACACTAGGCAGAATCTTTATTTTAAATGGGAAGGATGTCATACTAAAAACAGTCTTAGGAATTTTTGAGATAAAACAATGTAGTTTTGAGACTCTGAACAACTGGATTTATTTAGTACCACTCGTACATTTTCTGGAGTGTAACCTTTGTGGAACTGGGAAGGAAAACATCCAATTTTCGATGCAGTGCTGGGAAATTACAATTCTGCCTTAATATCTAAGTTACAAATTCAGGGTTTGATAGTTACTGATTTTTGGGGGGTTGTTCATTGAACTAGTTTCCTAGACTATTGTTAATTTGTGTATTCCTTATCTATCAGGTTCCCATTCTACAGAGAATTAGTATAATTTTCTTAGTTGTCTCCACGTGGATGAGTAAAGAGCCCATTCTTTTAAGACAGTGTGGATGCCTTGTCATAAATTTGAATAGTACATAGAAAATGTGGCCGATTATCACATTTTAAAGGGTCAAATATATAGAAAAGAGCATGTGGTTTGGGTGTGTTGATTTCTTTAACTGGGTAAAGATGGTGCTCCATTTGAGTTCCACTGAATTATGGTTCTGCATCATTACTCACCCATCTTTAAGTGCAATTAGTGGAAAGATCTTGGTGTGAGAGAAACTAATAGTATATTGAAGTATAACTAGAAGATAGCACACGATACATTTTGTAAAAACCACATATGGACAGTTAAGTGTATTTGTTACTCATGCTGCATTGGAAAGGAGTAATTAGAATTTTTTACTGAATTAAGGCTGGAAGTTTTTGAAAGTAACCATTATTAGTATCTAGGGTATTAAAGTGGAGAAGAATTCAATAGTGAAAAAACGAACAAGCAAACATTACCATGCCCACATGGTACCATGTAGCCTGTTAAAATAGAAAGCTTTATAGTTAGAGAAAATGTTGACACAGCCATGTGTTGGTAACATTAGTGGGTCTGTAAGTAAACTATGTAAAACTGTAGCCACATTGCAGTCTGTTTTAGTTCTTCTGGGGAAAAAAAATAAGTGAAAAGAGGAAGGAAAACACTAGCTGTCTAATTAGTAACATCCTAAGAACTCACTGAAAGAAACCTGACTTAGTATGTCTATGTACAGGGAAAATCAGAGTTGTTTTCTACCCCTAGGATGTAGTACTGATAGTTGGCTTGGGCTATAACAGTGATGAGACACAATTTTAAAAATTAATCTCTGTGACCATATTTTAAGATCGACATTTGGAATATTTTGTTAGATGGGAATTTCTCATGGCACTGATAATTTTAAATGAAAGGTGAAAAGTGCATTAGCAAAAAGGTAGTAAACATTAATGGAAACAAATGTTTTCCAGTCAGAATGTAAATGCACTTCACCACCTATCACCGTTCTTTCTGGTACAAGACATTTAGTGAAATTCAAGAAGTAAAACGATGGCTACATGAAAATGACTATGTTCCGATTCCGTCACGTGTAAACTTCATTCATTGTTCGTGTGTTATGAAGCCATCGATTTCACTGAAGCAGACTTCTCTTCATATTCTCTAGCTCAGTGTGAGTCAGTGAATATTCTGGCACCCAATTTTCTCCTTTTGTTTTTGTCTGCCTGGGCACCATCCCTTCCAGCACGGTGGAGAATTCTCAGTCTCTCTCAGTGATGTCCTGATGACGTGGAGATACTTCCTGCACGAGAAACTGAACTTACCTGTTGGAAACATGGAGGTGGCCGACCACTATGGGGACATCAGGAAGACTTACGAAGATTTCCTGAAGAAGAGTGATATGCTAGATCTGATTGATGTTTATCAAAAATGTAGAATTTTGACTTCTAATTCTGAAAATAAAGACATTTTAGCTGCAGTAAGTGTTTTCTAGAACAGTCCTGTTTTAATCAAATGAAAGTTCAGCTAGATTTGCATTGATTTTAAACTGTAGTATGAACAATTACAGTAATTTGAGAGGGAGGGTAGCGATTATAGATTTCATTCTGCATAGTAACATGCAGGGATTAAAAACAAAATCTCTAGGGATTTGATAATGATTTTGCTTTTGGGATCGTGTTAAGAATGAAAAATTTAGCTACCTGGAAGCCAGTTAGTATGTGAAAGAAGTATTTTGGTGAGAAGTTTTGTTGGGCTTGTGTTATTGTTACTATTTGGATGATGTAAGAATAGTCTCCTGCCTTATTTAGCTGCTGTGTATTATCTAATTAATTTTAATTATGGTTTAAATGCCAATCTATTTTTAAAAAATTGTCGCGTGTCCCAAAAGAATAGAACACAAGAATCTCATCGCCAGTGAATGTAGTCATGTGTCGGTCAGGGTAATGGTGGGGGTTTGAGCCATGCCGAGTGCTTGCCAGTGTCTCTTAGGGAGAATCTCGCGCGTCCCGAAGGCCTGCCAACGAGTTGTGTAGCTGATAGAGCTTTTTCTGGCAATGCCCTGACATCCTCCAGGTTCAGCTGCGGGATTTCCTATCTGGCAGGGAGCGTGAAGTAGAAGATAAAACCGATCCTTCCACGCCGGCATCACCCATGAGACACACCCAGGATGGTGAAAAGGCATTGGTGAGCAGTGAATAGATCCCTCAGATCACCATGTATCTGGTGGTTTCCTAGAATTATTATGGTTTGGTTCCTTTCAAGTTTTACAAGTTTTAAAATACTTAAATAAAACTGCTTGCAAAAACTAAGACTTAATACTTCAGAGACTGGCAAGAGTGTGATAAGAATAATTCAGTATTCATGATTTTTGAGCCAGGGTTACTGGCATCATTCAAGATACTAGAGAAGAAGTTCAAAGTTCAAGTTCTCAGATGTCTTGGCTTCTTTCTTTCTTTCTGTTTTTTTTTAAATTTTTTGAGATAGGGTCTCGCTATGTAGTTCACTGTGTAGCCCAGGCTGGCCTCAAACCACAGCAATCTTCCTGCCTCAGCCTCCTGAGTGCTGGGATGACAGGTGTGCACTGCTGTGCCCGCCACACATCTTTCTATTTAGTAGATTTGAGATTTACAGTTTTAGATAAGTGAGTCTTGGTGATGGTGTTCCGTTGAAAAGTTAGGTCTGTACTCTTTGCAGTAGTACAGCGGTGTACCCAGTGGTGTTGTCAGGCTTTGTTATGCAAACACAGATTAGTTTTTTTCTTTTTTGTTTTTGGTTCTGGGGATTGAACTTAGGCCCTTGCACTTGCGGCAGGCGGCAGATCCTGTTCTCATCAGGTTTGATTTAATATGATTTACTTTCAGCTTAATACTGTGGTAGGCACCTAAGTATATGTTATAAACCCCACTAACCATGGAAATTATGTGTGTGAAAGTTTTGTGATTTAGCAAACCACCATTGATAAGGTGTGAGCTTAAGAGTATTGGAAAAAACAGCAAAATTGTATTTAATGTATTTAAAAATATCATTCCAGTATATAAAAGGTCTGGCATGCATATACTCTTAATAACACCAATTACACCATTAAGTGGGCACGTTTTTCAAGTACATTGCTGAGATAGATTCTTCTCCAAATCCCGTATTATACCGACTGTACTTTGAAAAGCAACTTCTATCACTACCTTCAAATAAATACCCATGTTCCTGCTTCCTGGATTTAATAATGTGCTCTTTGTCTGTATCTGATTTATTTCTGTGTGCTTTGAAAATAACATCCAATATCATGTAGCACTTTGTCCCTAAAATTCTTTAGCTTACATTTGTTTGAAATACATGAAAATAAATAGCCATGATATCATTATTCTTATACAAAAACTTACTAGTTATATTCACTAATCTGATTTACTACCGTCTACATTCATATTTCTCCATTTGACCCCAAAATAGTTTTCATGTCTCTTCAGATTCTTTTAATATGTGAGAATTCCCCTAATTTTTCTTTTTTTCTATTTGTCTAATGAATATTCCGTTTTGTTTTTGTTTGTGTTTTTTGTGGTACTGAGGATTGTAGCTAGGGCCTTTGCACTGAGCAGTATACCTAGCCCTGTCTTGTTTTCTACTTTAAGACAGGATCTTGCTAGGTTCTCAGGTTGCCCATGCTGGGCTCAAACTGGTGATTCTCCCCCTCCT